GAAAATACATATTAAACATCCATGACTGGAGTACAAATGCTCGTATTCATCACACAAACATCTGCCCCCACCGGGAGTTGAACCCAGCATCTCTCGAGTCGGTGACACCATGAAACCCGGCGTACAAACCACTCGGCCACGGAGGTCGTCAAAGTTTGCCATATAGGCTTTGAATTGTATTAGACACTAGCAGCCGCCCGCAACTTCGTTGCGTAATTTTTTTTTAAATCACTAATGAATCTAACCTTTTTCCGGGATAAAAAGTATCATCTATGTCTTTTTCCATGTAAAAAGTTGTATCTGAATCGAATTTCATCTAAATCCATCAAGCCGTTTTTGCGTGATTGAGTAACAAAGTTACAAACTTTTACATCTACTATATAAAAATAAGTCGGGTTTTCCTTCCTGACGCTATAACTCCAGAACGCACGAACCGATTTCCACGGTTTTGCATTCGTTGGAAAGGTCTCGGGCTCCGTGAGGTTTATAACAAAGAAAATTCAGGAAAAAACAAACTTCTTTTAATCACCAAACGAAATGTTACATAAAACGAAGCCATCTGGTGGCGAAACGGAGTTCGCCGGGTTTGCTAGTTTATCATATAAGTGTATTAAATCGAGACTGGTCCGGTCCGTGCCTGCTCCGAATCTCGCAAGAGATATTGAAAACTTCACGAAAATTTCTATGAAGCAGTTCATACTACAGTGTATAGGCTTCGTAATGGGACACATGCCGCTCATTCTTGCAACTCGCAATGGCGTGATTTTGACAAAAGTCAACTCTATATTTAAGGCCCAATTGCAATATATGGTAAATCTCAATTCAACTTTAGCTAGATTTAAGTCATGGAAAAATTTCGACACGTCAATATCAATTTGAAATTATTGCTTGGGCTAAATCTAGTTTTAAATAAATTGCAATTAGCAAAATTGCTGCAAGTGGTCTTAAGTGTTGAATACGTCCATCATTAATTTACGCATTTTATATTCGAGGCCCGAATTCAGTACCCTTAGCACGAACCATTTTCTAATTCAAATAGTTTGCGAGTGCAAAAAGTCATTGTCAAATGTGTACGGATTTTTAGTTCTCGTTACGTCCGTTATGGCGCTGCTGTACAAGTTTCCATACAAAATTTGACAATGACGCACTCGCAAATTATTCGAATTCGATATTGGTACAGTACGGCTCCGACGGTTTATATATATATAGGTATATATCTCTTATCTATTAGACAAGTCCGTCCGTCCGTCCGTCCGTCTGTCTGTGGTGTGCAATTGGAGAGGCCTATGTCCAGCAGTGGACTAAGATGGGCTGTTGATGGTGATGAAGATGATGATGATATATGTGATTCATCATCATCAGCCCGCATCAGTCTTCTGCTAGACATAGGCCAACTTCCGTGGCAAGTCATTGAGCTCGGTCTTCAGCTCTCCTCATCCAGTCTTTGCCTGCTGTTTTTCGGATTTCGTCGCTCTATCTAGTCAATATTTCAATACAAGCAACTTTAAAGCATTATAGTTTTTAGCGAGATTGCTACCACGTTCATTGTTTTTTGTGAGTTTTGAGCGGCCAAACAGTAAGAGATAGATAAAGAGAATGTTTAAGTTATAAGTTAAGAATAGTCTGATAAGACTACAAACCGGATTTGAGTAACGTGGCACTTCCGGTTTTCGAGAAATCACGAATTTCAAACGAAACCACACAAAATCTCCGAAGTTCTCAATTAATTAAATACATTTTTTTTTAATTGGTGAACATTTGGTTCACTGGTTTGCTAGTATATTATTAATTCATAAGTAACAATCGTGTCAACATCTAGTGTGGACAACAACTGGGGCGGCGGCGGCGGCGGCGCGGCGAGCTTTGTTTACCCGGCTAATTGCCGTGATGAACGCTATCTGTTTGTTTATCCGCCAGTCGATATGTTTAGCCGATCCAAAGTCGATGTTCTACCCCGACGATGGCTGATTGTCGACAAACACACGTTATTGACGCCGCACTATAATGTGTTTGCACAAGATCATTGTTTTAATAATCGTATCCTATTTTCTGTTTGTTGACATGAATCGGAGAAGACAGGAATAACTGTATTTATAATGGAATGCAGTAAAGTTACATTAGAAGTCGTTTTCCTAATAGGTAAAAATCTTTCTGTCTATCCGTATGTCACGGATCTCTAGATCGTTAACGGAATGAGTTACAGAACTGACATTTTGGTATTGTCTGTAAAACGCTAGCCCAAAGCCGAATATTTAGTTAAAATTAAATTAAATTATTTTTCATGGAGGTGAGAGTGTATTTTTTTACCTTTTTTAACCTAGCATGTGACATATCATTGTCAAGAGCTCATTCTCATTGAGTAGCATATAAACAAATTTTTATATATATTTTTTTTTCATTAATAAAGATATGGTCAAAATTGTAATTTTTAGACCATTTGTGTTACGGGGTCTATTTCAAAATCGAAACTAAATAACAATGTGAAATTTGGGTATATGATATAGGCAAAAAATACTAAAAACGCCGATACTTAATATACTTTGTAAGTTGTAACGAAAACAAGCATATTATTTTACGGAACCCTAACAGAGCAATCCCCAACTCGCGCTTGGCCAGTTTCTTTTTCGATAAATATTTCGGAGCTTTTTTGTTATAAGTGAGCAACATTAATATAGTCTACAACATTATTATTTTAAGTATTAAACTGCTTGATCCAAAAATCTAAAGGAAATTTTATAAACCTTCGCATTAGTCGTTTAGAAGATATATATGTAAGTATTTTAAAGGATTTTGTAACTAATCCTAAGGTTTATAGAATTATTGATCTAGGTTTACCTTTTAGGAGCGAAGTAAATGATATGTTACATTCCACAATTTCTCGGTATCTAAGGCCGCGACCGTCGGTCGGAGGTATGACTCGATAAATCTTGACCGTGCACCAGACTGCGTTGTGCGAAATCTACTTTTTATGGTCGTCGATATACTGGACAGATTCCTTGGCCGATATGCGCTTATGCGACTTGGATTTATAGCTATTCGCGCGCATTTTTCAATGTTCGAGATCTTATTAACTTTTTCGAATTTGTCCTGTTGGCAGTAATATAAAGTAAAAACAATATATATTTATTTTTTCCTTAGTATTTTACGTTCTTCTCTTTTTAAACTGAAACCAAATAAAAACAAAAGCATTCTGAATCCATCGAGCAAATACTTTTTCAATTAACTTTTATGACTTAACTCGTTTGAAGAAAAAGTAGATTGTTGGAAGATTCATTGTGTTGTTTTCTTTTTAAATTGTCTTTTAATGGTGGGTGCGTACAAGAATCCGTGATATGCTGGCTGCGCCTTCGCAATAATAACCGGTGGATGTGAGTACTTCGAGCAAAACGACGCGGCGAAGCATTCCGTGCGTGCTCTTAATGTTTCTCAAAGCTAAATATTAACAGAAGGGTAATAAATTATAAACTTTATCCCGCTGTTAGACTAGTAGAGAAAGAAAAAACATAAAATACGTCAACTGCTATATTTCCCACGCAGTAAAAGTCGGTTTATTGGATAGTTTGCTTCAAAGATTTGAGTGAAGGCAACTTGACTAGCAAATGTCGAATATATCATCACCAAGACGATCTGTCTGTCCGTAAAGAAGTTATGTTAATACCCTTTTTAGCAATAGATACTATTTTTATAGAACCTGGCTGTAGCCAGCGTTTCGCCATCAATATGTTAATATTCTCATTAAATAACTGACCCTTGACTCATGTAGAGACCCATGACCTCTAAGCGAGATGCGAGTGGTCATCACCATTACTGAGTTTCTTATTTCGATTCCAAATCAGGTGAAGCTTAGAAAACGAATGTTTCGATACATTTATATCGAATCTGATTGGTTGAACCTGTGTTTTATGTAATAAGGGTATAAGTCGCAGCAGGAAATTCTAGCGCTGACTGTTATCGCGCAGAAGTAAAAATTAAGATGTGTTGGGGGGAAACGAGGTGCGCGGGTGGCCGTGCGTTGCGCCGATTGGCTCTCCAGTCGTGCCCATGCGCAGATATCCCCCCAGCAAGGGCGGATCCAGGGGGAGGGAAATGGGGGTCATGACCCCCCCCCCTGGGCTGGGTCCATCTGTACCCACTTCACAATCTGTACCTACTGTGACTTGACCACGACTATATGACCCCCCCCCCCCCCTGGCGCCAAAGCTAGATCCGCCCTTGCCCCCCAGCGTTTTGTTCATCGCTAGAGTTACGTGCCGCAACCTACACCTCCTACCCCGTGAAGCTATGGAACTTCACTTATCATCAGATAGTTATTTGATTACGGTGTAAGTTTCACCCAGACGAGCGGAAAATATGAAGTTTTGCTAGTTTCTGATGTTACTGTACGACAAAAATGTGCTTTGACTTTTCCTTGGGATCAGACCAATGTGTCTGACTTTTATTATATGTTTTACAAGTATGTACAGTACAAGTTACCCACTGTTTCTTTGGGTTAATGGAATGTATAAGGGCCTATGCATACTGGATTTTTGACACGCAACAAACATCGAGCGTTATATTCTAAAATAATTTTTCACTTCAGCAGCGCGTCCCATTTGAATATGTATCTATGTTAACACGGTTGTCTGCTCCTTTCATTGTTTATTATTACACTGTATTATTTACATTGGATTAACCTCATGTATGTCTGGAAACAGTTCTAGCTATTCCCCTCATGTATGATTTAAACATATTACTTTAGATGCAGATCTACTATTAGCTGGATCAGAAAATAGTTATTCTTTTTTTATTTTCTTCAAAGGTAGACTAACGGATGGGCCACCTGATGTTAAGTAGTTACCGTAGCCCATGGACATCAATAATGCCAGTGATACAGCCATGCCACTGCCTTTCGTGGAACACTCTATTTAAGACTCTCTTGAAGAGAACCATGTTATAAAACTGACTATTACTTATAATATCTATATAATTTCATTCCGACATACTTTTTGTTGTGCCCACAGGCCGTCGGTGTCATTCATAACGCCGGCGTTGATCGTGGAGCGACACAGAGCGGACGGGCGAACGCGCGACCGGCCGCACCCAGACGCCACCGGCTGCCACTACACCGGCACGGTGCGCGGCCAGCCTGCGTCCAGTATAGCACTCTCTGCGTGTGACGGACTGGTGAGCTACTCAACATATTATTGTATTAATATAAACATTGATGTTGGTCTTGTGGTGTGTGGGTGCTGAGAGAGTATCTACGTCGATAACTATACAGTCACAACAGCCAAAGTTCAATTAATATTTCAATCTTAGTCCCATTCTAATTGCAACTTAACTTTGTACGAAATCGATATCGCGCTTATTTTCACCTGTCAACTGAAATCTACTTTATGTTATTAACTGAAATTCACTGCTTTTAAAACTTTAGCACGATTCGAAATGTCATAAAAAGTTGCGGTCCGTTGACAGTTTAACGTGTTTCATTCGTTTGGCATTTAGCGCGATCGGCCTCCAGTACCCTTAGTACTAGTTTGAGCTCACGAAAACTGTCATAGTTTTCGTAATTGTAAATTATGTCTCTATGTCCATTTTGGTGCAAATTAATCAAATATACTTAAAATTTAAGAAGACGCAATGATTTTATGATGGAATTTAAACCATGACGGACCCACCATACCCCTAGCGATACCCCCAGGGGTAGGGTGGGACTGAACTTTATTTATATTGCAACGAAAACAATAAAATCAGTACCCTTAGTACGAGTGCGAGCTCACGAAAACTATCATAATTTTCGTAAATGTAAAACTCGTACTAAGGGTACTGACCCCACCGACTATTATGACACCGGCTTATTTATGTATATAAAGATAGTTTGACTAAGTTTTTTTTGAGAGTTCCTTTTTCAAGACCAGTAAGTTTAGAGATTTAGCGAGATGGGTGGAAGTAAGCAGGTAATTTATATACGTGCACTTCTTCCCCTTAATCGTAGAAATCCGAAAACCTCGTGTATAAATTTACAGTACACAGAATTACTACTGCTTTGAGCTACTTTACTATTTTGAGGATTTCTTATTACAAAAATCCAGTTTCCCAATTTAGCAGGATAAATTTATTACGATTTTTTATGACATTTTCGGCACATATGCAAAATATCTAAAAATCTCGTTCATTATTACATAATTTATGAGAACACTAGAAAAATATTTTCAATTTAATCTTAGTCTCACCTCAATTTAAACCTTCTTCGTCGAAAAACACATAATTAATTAATAATAGTTAGCTGACGCATCATGATTCTGTAGACGACGCATTTGATATCGAATCTAAAAAAAGATGTGCTATTCTGCTAAGGATTTCTTCTATCTGCCAGTTTGGTCTGAAATTCATTTGCCATAAGCTTCTTTAATCGAATATTTGTAAGGCATATTTTTTATTAAGTATTAATTGGCCGAATATTTATATGTCCGAATTCACAATAGCACACTTTTAAGATGACCGAATTTTTATAAGCATTAATTCGCTAAGCATAATTTGTATTTGTGTGGTCAGTGGGTTAGGTTAGGTTAGACCTAATCATAATCTAAATAAGTGAATGCCAAATGATTTTCTGCGAAATGAAGTTTATGCCAGCCGCTAATGTGCATAATAATGTTATGACATTAAAAGTTCTGCGTTACAAGGTGGACCCATTCCGCTAATGACGAGGAAAATTATGGCTCCTGTTTCATTCCTTAAGTTGGGTTTTCCTTTTGCTAAATTCCTTGCTACTATTATCATCTTAATTAATTATATATATATCGTCAATACTTTACATGTTTTTTTTTTCAAAGTGCCAAATTTTTCCTTGCCTGGCTCATAAGTTCTCCTTTCTATAACATCTTGAAGCAGAAGCAAATAGATGGATATCAATATATTTTCCCCCTAGTTTCTAAATGCCAGTGTCATGGTTTTCAACAAATTAAAGATTGCTTCCTATTAGAAAACATATCTACTGAACATCAAAATAAATCGTTGATGCAGCAGTGAATTTGCAATTTATGGAAACAACGGATTTTTACTACGCATAATGTTGCCTGTCCACTGGAGTGGAGTGAGACTGCAGAACCGAGAAACATTAACCAATAGGATTGCACAAAATATCTGCTCCTTTTCAGTAGACAGATTTGTGCAATCCTTTGGACACATCCTCACTCCAGTGGACAGTGAAACATTTCTATCTATACAGCTGAAGGAGTTTACCTATTCGAAGTTCGAACGCTAATTTTAGCGATGTTTCACGATAGTTTTACGTGATAACGTCATAAAGAAACATTTATGAAAAATGACGCCACGCGAGAAAGGAAATAATTGTGTACAAGCCGACGCTTTTGCCGATCGTGCCTCTCTATCGCTTGTTCCGCGCTCTCGCTTGCTCGCTCAGGCTCAGGCGGAACGTGACACTTTTTCGTGCGTGAAGCCGGTGTTCATCGATTCATAAAACTCTTATCACGTCTAAAGCAATTTCCGATTTCCGTTAGCGTCATAACATAGTTACTTTTCAAAAAATAGAACGAAACTTATTAATTACGTGTGAGTTAAATCGCCTACGTGCTATCTCTATAAATAACAAAAGGAAATATAACAATGAAAAAATGTATGACGTAAATATTACGATGTCGCAAACTTAGCATTAAATCTGGTCACATCAGCAATATTATTAAGTATCGTTTCAAATATTCATAAGTATATTAACATACGGTACCGAGCAGGTGCGATGCGGAGATTGGAGTATTTAAAAAAGGTGGGCCTCGGCTTAATGGATACAAATGTGTGTTGTTTTGACATAAGCGCTCCAATTAACACCGGCTCATTTATGAAGATGTCGGTGATCAATCTCACTGTGCTCATAAATAATTATGTCAAAAAAGGTAACCTTGATCGAAATGTGGGCGTCACTCACATCTAATTGAACAAATCTGTTTGTGGGCAATATTTGTTACAAAGTTTTCCGTGAAGGAAATTTATGAATGTTTTACTGTTGATATTTTAAAATGCACATGTTATCTCCTAAGATATTTTCATGTTATTCATACGAATATTTTATTTGTACGCAAAATTCTCCTGCACACCAATCATTTTGAATTGTATAGTACAAACTACATTTATAATTCAAGCGGCTGATTGTGTGTTATGCAAATTTTATCGCTGTTTTATATGTTGTGAATTTTAAAGATTTTATTTCGCCATTTCTGATAACCAACTAATTTAATCAAAAAAGATTAACATAACAGAGCTATAAGATAGACACATTTCTAGATTTCTTCTAATTGCTTTCATGTTTCTTTTCCTTTATAAATTAAGAAAATTTATGTGATTGAAGTTTATTAAGCTGATTTACCAGTCATCATCTGCCTCGATTCTAGAGGTCGTTATTAATTTAATTTGTCGTTGTAGTAAAAAGTTAAAAACTAGTCAATTGAAAGAAATACTCATAAATGAAGAGTTCTATACATTCCCAATTTTTTTAATATAACGGTTTTTTAAAATCCGAAGTAAAAATGTATTATTTAACCCTATATCACGTATGTGTCGCCAGTATAATGAACTCGTCGTTAATGGAACAGAAATAGATATATTTGATCGTAGATCTTTAGTATTTAAGAAGAACCTAATTGCTAATTTGTAACATTTATAATTATTTAAACTATTGCTAGTAATCAATTTAAAAATTAAAAATATAATATGATTTGGCTGTAGCTTAGCATGTCAAGCACTCTGTTATTATTATTTAGTCACTCAGTATGTACATATTAAAGGTTACATCCTTGTTTTTGTGTGATAATGAAAATATTTTTCTACTGAAAGTTTGTCACCTGTTTGTACATCAAATAAATAAATATTATTCGCCCGGATAGCGGAAGATGCAGGTTTGAATCCCGTCTGAAACCTGGACGGAATAGATATTTTTTCTAATAAAATTTTCTTTAGCTTTAAACCTTTAAAAAATATTACACCGGAACCTCAAAGCCAGGGCTCGGGATTGTAATGAACACAACAGTTATTAAATTGTTATTTAATAATTCAATATCTCTCGTATCTCGATATCTTACAACCAAATAATGACTTATTATAACACCTCTGTGGCTCCGTTTTCCTCGTGTTATTTAACAACTTAATGGACGGATGTGAGCTATTACGACGACCATAAAATTAACTTAATAAAATATTGATGCCTAGTGTTGTTTCACAAATTATACATATCCTCTATCTCGACAAATAATTATAAGTATATTATGTTAGTTTGGTTTGTAGGTGCCTATTAATCTCTCCACTGCTGGGGCACTGCATCCCTATGGATGGAATAGGGAGATTGGGTCATGACCCACCACGCGGGCCCAGTGCGGATTGACGGGTGCTAACGACTGCAGATGCAGCCGGGACCAACGGCTTAACATGCCTTCAGAAGCACGGAGGAACTCGAGATAGAAGATTTTCGGTCACCCATCCAATGACCGCACACTGCGCAAGTTGCTAACTTCCACGATCGCAGCCGAACGAGCCAACCACCCGCGTCATCGAGTTCCTCGATCGAAAATACAATCGTTCAGTCTTTAGTTAATAAATAAATAACAAATTCCTAAGTGCATCTATTGTAATGGTCTCTAGCTCATATTTCGTAATGTACTTACGTAAAAAATAGTAGATACCCACAATACATAAATATTTATTGATCCAACTCATGAACAATTTATAGTATTCAACGGGGTTAGACAAATGTCATTTAATCTATTAGATATAAACGATAAGGCCAGTGGCGGATTTACAAATTTGCCGCTAATAGGCTTTTAAATTTTTGCCTCCCTTACTGACCTTTGAAATTCAATACGCTAGTTCACAATTATATTTATTCTGAAATTGCAACTTTATGATTTGTGTTCTATCGTCCACATTACGTCGGCTTTTCCCCATTAGTTTAAAAAATTACTAAATTTAAATTGTAATTAATATTGAAACGCTAATGGAATATTTTAAAAATTCATGATCACATAAGTACATACCTATATTTTACAGTGCGTTTAGTAATCTTTTATATACGGATTACGGACGTAAGAGTGTTGAGTATACTGTGCATTACTAAAATATTAAAATTTTTGTCACTCGTTTTTCTGTGTAGATTTTGGGCAAAATTTGCCGCCCTC